GGTTCTGGGCAACACTCCTGCCACGGTGTTGGCTTGAGCCATCCAGAAGTTTCTTGGCCAAGAAAACCTCTGTTAATTAAAAGCCTCATCTCAAGTCTTCTTATTTGGTTTTATTGAAACTTGGGAAATAAAAGGTGCCATACAAGGATATAAGTGGCATGCCATAGTACAGTTGTATGAATATAATGCAGAAGCTGGCTCTGTTACGCCAGTATATAGAAAACAATATGTAATCTTACCTCAGTCATGCTTTTTCTAGTAGGATGTAGGATTGTGTCCAGAAAGAGACTGAAACTCTTCTTTTAAAAAGTATCAGATTAATTTACATAAATATGCACATTTACTAGCCAAACGTGTTCCCTCTACCTTAGGTGAACTTTTGCTTCCTTGTCTGATTAAACTTTTTAGTTTTCATTATGCATGCAAGATGAAATTTGTTGGCTGCTAAAACTGCCAACAGGTTTAGCATTTTTGTATTTCAAGTATTTGAAATGCCAGTGATATAAGAAAAAATATTTTTGCATTAAATGAAATAGTATGTTTTCATTATGATTATTATCTACCTTGTAAGTATAAAAGTGAGCCTTTACATTTAATATATAAGGTTTTCTTTTTTATGTGAGCAATTTATGTTTTGCTTATAATAGAAATGTTTCTGAAAAGAAGGAAGAATGCACTTTAATAGTGAATGCAATTTGTTCTTAATTTTAATTGATGGATCCTTTCAAAGCAAGATAGCTGGGAATAATATCAGGGATTGAAAGCATTCAGGTGCTTGGTATGCATTAAATTCAGAAATTATTGGGCAAACATACTATTTAATACACTTTAATCAAACAAGATAATGTTTTAGCAGTCTTTGTTCTGTTGTGACCTTAAGGAATAAAATGCTGTTGCTTTGAAGAAGTTCAGTGTTGGGCCGAGAATGGGTTTTTACAAATTAGTTCAGAGCCTTTTCATCCATCCTCATTTGCCTCTATAGGGATTATTGGCTGGGACCTACATGTTATGTATATAAGAAAGTTATGAATGTGGCAATAAATGCAAATGGGCAGCTGTCATTTGACCTCTTCAGGGGTTGCATTATGTGTCTCTTAGTAAAGAAGCTGATGTCTTTCCAAGGGTAACATTATCCACCAGGATATATGAAAATATAATAATATAAATGCATATTTACCTACCTACTTTGGTAAAACAATTTCTGTGGAACAAAATCTAGAACTGGTTTCAGAATACACAAAGCTTTTTTCCAGTATATACATATATTGATCAGTTGTAAATACTTATATGTAATATAAAGATAATTTTAATGTAGTTAGAATACTGTATTAACTAAGCATTAAGTCAAATTTCTACTTAGCAGTAATATAGACTTGCGTTATATAACTAAATGCAACTTCATGCCCATGCAAAACTAGGCTATGAAATATGCATACTCAGTTAATCCAGAGAAGCTGCTCTCATAATGTTAACAGGTTTATTACTATTTTGCTGCTAAATTGTACATACATTCTTAGTAATCCGCCTTCCACAATTCCCAAACCTCCTCTCAATTAAACAAAAATACAGCCACTAATGGGGGGACAGGATAGTTACATGGTAGTTTTGAAGAATATTGATAATCAGGTTCTGATACTGATTGGAGAATCTGTTTTGTGTTGGTCTTTTGGTGTGTGCGTGCGTGCAGGTAATATATACATTACTCAACTGCTTAAAAACATGCACATGCATTAAAGGCAAACATAATCTTATATGGTCTAGTTTTTAGATCTGCGCAGGGATCTTGGTTCAGTGGAAAAGGCAACACATCATGCCTTTCAGCCCCTTCTTAAATCAAATGTGTATTTGTGCTGATGTTCCACATGAGCCCAGGAGAAGATGCGGCTTTTTAAAGGAGCTTCCAACAGGGGCATTGTGTTATTGCACAGTGTAAATCACTTCTCCCACTTCAGGTCTAGATCTCTGCCCCACCGTAAAAGTTTTCAGATCACAGCAAGGAATTAGCTCCATTCAGTTGTACGTTATTCAGAGCAGTCCACATGAGAGCATTCCTGATAACTCCGACATTGCTGTCCGCCTATCTTGACTGCTGTGGTTTCTGATGCACTGAGGGTGAATGTCTAAATTAGAGAAGCATTCACTTTTGCTCTGTATGCACGTTGCTTTCTGCATGAGTAAGGATCCTGCGTTATCAGGGTCTCGGCTTATGTGGAAACCACCTCTGTTTCTTTATTGCAGACTTCGCTGTGAATGTGCAAGTAATTGCAGCAAATGACCTCTTTTCATTGCTTTCGTAGGATGGGAGAGTCTATTATTTTCTTAGCTGGTGAGACCTCCATCTATAATATAGCATGCCAGGTTTGATAAGCATGGTTTAGAATTCAAGTAAATTTAAGTTGATTCGGAGGACAGGAAAAAATGCTCAGTCCATCCTCTTAACCCCTAAAGCCTGTGAAAGAAAGACTGAGATACCTTGTTATATTTAGCTTTGAAAAGAGAAGATGCTGGCAGTATATGATCATATGCTTACATCTGAAGGATTATAACACAGAAAAGGGCCATGATTCTATTAACCAGTGTATAGGATGTTAAATATTGGGTTTTAAGTTTTAATGCAAAGCAAATTTTATTTGAAATGCTAAAAGCAGTTTGACACTAGAATCGGTTGTCTGTGGAAATTATCGTCTCTTTATTTGTATTCAAGCAGAGGCTGACAACAATTTGTCAGGAATGCTTTATTGTAGGGTGGCTATAATGACCACTTCTAACCCTAATTGTATGATCAGCAACAATATTAACTTTAATTTGGTCCTTCTTGTGGTATTCCATTTAGTGGGATATATTAAAATGATTTCTTTTTTGGTTTGATTATTTGGAGTGAAGAATAGTTTCCTACTGGATGTCTCCACTGATCTTGGGGCTGCTTTAGGAAATACTGTTCTCTTTCAGCAATAGAGTAAATAGCTGCTATTGGGTGTTTTTGAAAAAGGTTACACAGGGTTACACTTAGGATGGGACACCTCTAGGAAATCCCAGAACTGTTGGTTGAATGAGAAACTGTCCCCCCCACCCCTTTGAAGGTGGCACTGAATAACAGCAACCAAAACAACAGCAACAACAGCAACAAACTACCATCACAAGGAAATGTTCATATAGTTAAAGGGCAGTTTTCCTGCCCTTTACAAGTCGGAATTAGTGGCTTGACCATTCTCTTTATTAATGTACATTTTGTTTGAGAAATCTCTTTTTTTAAAAAAAAAAACACTCTTATGATAAACTTCATAGTTAATTTAGTTCAGCCCTTGATTAACTTTTTTGGCTTGCATCTTTAAAAGAAATACAAAGTTATGTTGCCAGTAAAGAAAATACCCAGAAAATCTGAGAGCATAGTTGTTGAAATTCCCTTTCCAAAATAATGAAGAAAATTATTAGACCTGGACAGGGTGGGAAATCATTTATCTCCTCACTGAGTATACTTCATTCCACAGTGAACAAGTTCAGAATTCCTGTTTCC